AACTACTTCCGGGTTTTTCACGATCGCTTTTTGACGCAGAAAAATAGTATTTTTGTCATGAAGACAAGACCAGAAAATTCTGAAAACTTCCGTGCACGTGTGTGAAGAATGTATATGTATAAGTATTCTCCGATTAACATTTAAGTGTGTTGATTGAGCGTGGCTAGCTCCGGAGTGGCCGGAACTACTTGCGGAGTTATCCACGCATTTGAAAGACAAGCAGAGAGTGCGTTGCCATGGGCAGCGGTCATTATTGTTTTGAGAGGTCCGTTATAGAAAATAATGACCGGTAGAACGTTTTGAAATTACATTCAAATCAATGGAGCATTCTACTGCTGCTGTGAGGAGCCGTATAATAAGAGTAAATAAATACTTGCTTTTGCATGTGGATCACATAGCTGGCAGGTGAGCTCCTTGACTCTCCTCTCATACTTGCGGACACCCTTAACAGCATCTGTTGGGGTTTAGAGATGGATTGCAACAACTATCTTGTTTGGTTTGACTCTCGTCCTCGGGAGCTGCTTCTTTCCGCCTTCATGGCCAGATTCTGCGCCTCATCCAGACAAAGGTCCCTCAGAACAAAGACCAAACATCACTGATGTTCTTCTTGGCCTTCCCCTCAGCATTTCCTGATTCCGGAGCAGTGCCATTGACTTCACTCTGGACAGTGTTCTATACAATGCAATAGAAGCAAAATAACATGAGTTTTGAAACTGTATTGATTAAAGAGCATACATTGTCCAGACAACTAATGGAGAAGGTTGTTAACCTCTGGGAGGATTAAAACACAAGCCTAAGGCTTAACAGAACATTTGTGACAAACAGGACACACTGTGGGGCTTCATTCAGGAATACAATATTAAATTATGTGACTACAGTCTATTTTTGTGGGCAGCCATAGGATGCAGTCCATCTTGTTTTTACTGTGCACATAAATGAATCAGAGCCAGATCTAAGGCCATGTCCACACAAGTCTAATCTGTACATACAGATACACCGTATCCACGTTTCTATCATCGCCGCTGTGCACTCAGGCTCCTTATGTTTACTGCACGGTCCTCGCTTCTCCTCTGCCGCTGGTGTTATGAAGAAAATAAATACATCAATCCACCACAAAAGTCCAACCAGGTCCCTTTGGTTCTCAGAGGTTCATTTGTTTTCCGTGACAGTCACGTGACCAGGAAGAGGAAAACTGCCCGCCAGCAAAACTGTCAAATATTTTTTTAAAGAATCAACTTCCACCACATTGTTGTTTCTCCATAAATCTCTGTTTGAAGAATAAGTCCAATATTTCCCTTAGTTTTCCGGTCTTCAGATCTGAAGAAAAACGTCCCTCTCTTCAGTCTCTTCAGTGGATTCGACCGTAGAGTATATTCATCCAGGGTTTAGACGTGTGCAAAAGTGATCATCTCTCCTTAACATTGGAATGTGATGAATCTGCTGAATCAGGACATATCCAGCTCCGGCCGTCCTGACCCCCGCTTCTGACAAGTTGCCCTAGTTATCTCAAAGGATGGATCACATTTCCCTACAGAGACAATAAAGTGTATCTTTGCTTTCATATTAAATGGGAAAAATACAATCGTAAACTTTTCTTATTCAACACATAAAAAACAGTAGCAGCAATGTTTGATTTTCCCTGAAACCAGGCCAAGTCCAAGGCTAAGTTAAGGGTGATAATGTACTTATCACGTGACAACCACTAAATCATTTGTGTATCTTTTAATCTCAGCGTGGCACACGTCCAAACTTTAATGCCTTTTTCAGTTTAACTATCGGAGCAGATACTGTGTTTTTTTTTTTCTTTGGTATGGCAGTTTGGGTGGAAAAATATAACATATGTCTCTGTTTACAGCTCTAGAAATGTGAGATCAGTGTGGCAATATCTCCAGGCGGATAAGGCTGTAGCTCTGGGCTCTGATTGGCTGAAGTGGTGCAGTTATATGAATAAGCTGTCGTGAAAATTAATATTCTCATGAAAGCTAGTGAAAGTGTTTTGGAATGCATTATTTATTCCACACATGCAGTGGAGGCCACAACTGCCTTGGGTCAGACTGATGGACAATATTTGAGAAAAAAGGTTTTTATTGTTTTTATTGAAATAGCCTTTAAAAAATAAAACTATAGCAGGCGTCATACATAATGGATGCTTACATACAACCTGATAAAATGGACCAACTCAAACCATTTTATCTCCATGTTCCGTGTATTTAAAAGAATGCATTGAATCAGGCAGGATCTGAACTTACCACGAGCAGGAAGACGTCTTCAGCTATTCCCAGAGGGCCCTGCATACTCCTTATATTCTGTGTAGGGTGCTTACAACGCAGAGTTAGATGCCAAATATGGGTTGTGAGATACCCGAGTACAGTGGGAAGCAGAATATCTTGCCTCTTCTAAATTTAGAGAATGTGCTGCTATTTGAACACATGTTGAATTCACTGAACCTATCGTTCTCATGATTATGACGATATTGCAGCTTATTTAACACATTTTAATATCACATAATTAAACTGATTTGAAAAGTCAATAGAAATCTTTTCATCTTGATTGATAAATACTGAAGCCATATTCTTTATGATCATAATTACAGATTTAAGATTAATGCTCTGGGGAAAAAAGATAATTGACTATTTATTGTTGACTTAAGTGTAAGATCTTAACCTTCAAACACTGAATCTTTTTGAGTTAATTTAGCTTATAATAAAAATGGATTGGATTCAGTGCTCAGGTATACACAGATAGACCAATACTGGCTACAATCTCTATCTTTCACCATGAACACTTATTTTCTGTAATGACGCACAGAGTTTTTTGAGGAGCACAGGACATACGCATGAGTCCAAATCCACAAGACAAACTGTCATTGATTCTGTTCATAAACCATTTGCCACTACGCACCAGCGCAGAGCGGATCATATATCGAGGCCACGCGCTGCCATGTGTGCACTGTACACAAGCAGAGCACAGAGCAACAGGCTGGGGGAGGGGCCCAACACATCTGATCATTTTAGACCCAATGCACGGTAGAAGCCAAAATTGGGAATACAGCATAAAGTAAAAAGGTTAGAGTATTTTAAAATGTCGAAAATAGGGGCGACAGGGGCTCAGTTGGTAGAGCATTGGGCTTTGGGCCTGAAGGTTGTGGGTTCGAGCCCACCGTAAGACCTACTTCACGACTTTCACTGATGACTGCTGTTGTTGAGTCCTTGGGCAAGACACTTAACCCCACTTTGCCTGAAGCCCCCACTGAAAGATCTTAGCTCCTGTGGACTCAGCACCTGCAGGAGGATCAGTGAGGGGCTGGTTCTCTGTGGACTGGGTGCAGCTCTGAATGCCACCCCCCCAAGCCAGAAATGGATTAAGGGGAAGAAAATGGATGGATGGAAATATCTTAAAGTGGCTTGAATTTTTATTTTTCATTTTGAGGAGGAAAAGGAAAAATTAAAAATTGGCTTGATATTTGATGTTTTGTTTCGATGCAGAAAATGAAAAAAAAAACTAAAATATTAAATAAAGGTTTCAGGCCGATTTGATTTTGTTTTTTTGATTTGGCGCGACCGGAAGTCGGCTGTGCACCCATATTTTTGAAAAACAAAAAACACGGTAGTGATATTGGAGGACTCAACACAACCGCTGAATTGGCCAACACAGATCAGAGAATAAAACAGTTCAAACACAAGATAATAGAAAACACATCGGTGTTGGTCCATAAGGGGCATTTAGGTATTTCAAGACACTTTGAAGCAACTGTGGTTAAAGTTAAACTCATCATTCTAACAATATGCACAAGGCAGTACTTTTCCATTGTTTTAACTCAAGGTTGAAGCTACATGGCATCGCGGCGAATGCTGATTGGACGGTGTTCATTCCTCCGCTGTATATCATCACTTGCAGTCTGTAACATATTTGTTCGTGCTGTCTCTACCAACGACAATAAAACATGTCTTCTGTCTGAATTAAAGACACGATCCCAGACTTTGTCCATCTTCTTCAGGCAGATAACCATAAATATTGAATATTGAGAGTCCTGGATCACCACTGTCTTTTTAGTCAAACCCTCACAAGGCGCTAACAGACCCTCCTGTATCGGTAAGGAAAAACTCTAAAACCCAGTGGGAAAAGGTGAGAAACCTCGGGGAGATCCACGTCAAGAGTGGGATCTGCTCCCACTGAAGGACGGACGGGCAAGTCTTAGTGCCTGAAGATTTATCAACCTGGAAAAAGGTAATTTTCATCTCGGAAATCCCAAATAATTGAGAGGCATTTGAGTTTATTGGAGGATTTTACTACCATGTTCAATAGGTTCAATAGGTTCATTAGGTTCGATAGGTTCGATAGGTTCAATAGGTTCATTAGGTTCAATAGGTTCGATAGGTTCAATAGGTTCAATAGGTTCATTAGGTTCAATAGGTTCGATAGGTTCATTAGGTTCAATAGGTTCGATAGGTTCAATAGGTTCAATAGGTTCATTAGGTTCAATAGGTTCAATAGGTTCATTAGGTTCAATAGGTTCGATAGGTTCAATAGGTTCATTAGGTTCAATAGGTTCAATAGGTTCATTAGGTTCAATAGGTTCAATAGGTTCATTAGGTTCATTAGGTTCAATAGGTTCAATAGGTTGTATGCAATCATTTTAATATGTTTTATTAGACATTGGACTAGCCGGGCCTCGGCTTGAACCAAAATTGTTTTTTTGGCCCTCTGATGAATTTGACTTTGACATCCCTGATTTAGACCATTGTGTATACAGTATATTTAGTATTTTAGAATAATAATGGTGTTCAAATGCTCCAAATTCTAAAACATGTGCGTTTCACTGTATTTGCAGAAGAAAGATATGAAACTCAATTCATTCAGTATAGGATAATTATCTGTAACTTTACTTTTATTTGATGTAGTGTTTAGAAGGATTCTATACCAAATTATAAAAAAAAAAAAAGTTATTTGTTGGACCAAAATAAAGTTTAAACTGATTTTCTGTGTTGTTCTGCTTGTCCATGCATCCCTCAGTCTTGTCAGAGTGCGGCTGCTCTGAGACGTCAGCCCCCTCCACACAAAGCCCAGTCTGTGAGTCTCAGGCTCCAGGGGCCGGGCCGGGGCCGGACTGGGGGCCGGACTGGGGGCCGGACAGGTGCTGTCCCCTGGGGCGCGGAGGGGAGGGGGCCGCTCTGTAATCAGAGACAAGTCCAGTTATTTCAACACTGGGCATTTTCCAGCAGCTCAGCAGTATCTGTCTTTAATACTGTCTGCAGAGGCGTCTCTTTACAGTCAGACACAGACCTAATTAATGTATGAATGTCCTATACTCCTTTTACAGTGGAAAAGTATTCATACCCATGTCTTCTTCTTTGTTTTTCAATATTTTAATTAGATTTTTTATTTTCTATATTTTATTTTTCATTTTTTGGAGGGTGATAAGTCAAAACAATATGATTAAATGACTTAATAAATAAAACTCCATAGTGTAGTGTACTGAGCTGCACCCAGTACACAGAGCACCAGCCCCGCACTGATCCTCCTCCAGGTGATCAGTCCAGGAAATGAGATCTTTCAGCGGGGGCTTCGGGTAAAGTGGGGTTAAGTGTCTTGCCCAAGGACACAACGACAGCAGTCACCAGTGGGAGTCATGAAGTAGGTCTTATGGTGGGCTCGAACCCACGACCTTCAGGCCCAAAGGCAGATGCTCTACCAACTGAGCCAGTGTCGCCCTCCTGAAATTAGTTAGTATATTATTTAATTTCTAAATCATCTACCTGGCTACAGGTTGGAGACCCCTGATGTAAACCCACACTCACCTCCAACACTCTTTCTCTCTCAAATGCACACTATTTCGAGCACTCTGGTTCGTCTGAAGAATGTGTCCATGAATGCTGCCACGGACGCCCTGAGGCAGCGAGCACAAGGTCACACCTGCCCGTCACGCCCCTCCCTCCCTCCCTGTGAAAACGCCATCTACCTGACGCATCGTAAAAGTGCTGCACAGATTAGACAATGCTGTTATCTGGCCTCAGCGATGACGTCATGCTCTCCAGGACACACATGGGATCATTATGGGATGGCTGAGGGCTGTTTGGGATGTCCACACGCAGCACGCAGCGTTGGCGGTAAACATTGAGTCAGCATTTGGTGATAAAGTCTTGGGCTTGTACTGTACACTCACAACACGCCCTTTGGTAGAATTATGTCATAAATAAAGGCTTGGTAGAATATTCTTTGTTTTCTCGTTGGGTAACAAAGTGCAGGCTTTTTGCAACAATTGTTATGTGGAAATTAATCCGTTTCCACTAAAGATAAAAATGTACGAAGACTAAAAGTGAAATTCCCCTCTGCTGTTGGACTCTTGAACACTTCATAACCTGTCCCCCCGCCCTTTAGAAGTCACCTTACGGCCCCCTATAATGTCACTTTACTGTCCCTCATTAAGTTAACTTTAATGCCATCATAACGTCACTTTACTGCTTGTCACCCTATTGCACTGCCTATTGTATATTGTGTGCACCATGTGCACTTGTATATTGTACATAGTGACTGTAATTGTACTTGTAACAATTCTATTTTAAGCAATTTCCAAGTCTGTGACTTCCTGTTACTTACGTGGCAATAAAAATGATTCTGATTCTGAAATGAACAGTTCGGAATGCAAAAGTGTTAGAGTGTTAGTGTTTCCAACTAAAGCTTTTGTTAAATGGACTTTAGTCACCAGCTTTTGGTTATGAAATAGGCAAAAGCTGACTCCTTGTGACATAACAGTAGATTGTGGACTACTTTAATCAATAATGAAAAATATATATAATTTCTGTATAGAAACCATACTCAGGTTTTCTTGTTTTCTCTTATCAAATTTTCCTGGGAAAAATGGTTTGTATCTCAAGCATGATTGAAATAAATAAACAAATGAAAATGAATGAGCTTGGGTACAGTAGCTATTCTGTTACATCGGTGATGTCTGAAGGGTTAATCCAACTTGATGTTTATCTAAGTAAAAATATGCGCCACTATTTGAGCCGACTGAGTGAGAATGGTCCTGGCTTCATTCTTCTTTATTATGCTAAAGTTAGAGATTTTATACTAGCTTCTTTATTATGCTAAAGCTAGAGATTTTATTTTATTTTATTATGAGTAATTTTTCACTTAATCTTGTGCTGTGTGCTTCTCGTTCTTATACTATTCTGTAACCGGTGATGCAACACTGAAATTTCCCCACTGTGGGACGGATAAAGGATCTCTTAAACTTAGATGGATGGTATTACATGGCTCTAAAGTTGTGTACCCCAGCTTTAAGTAACCGTGTCTGCTCCCGCCTGCATGTGACTCCTGCTATTGATACTGCTGCTTTTTAACACCTTGTTGCTATCGCTGCTACTGCTCCACGACATGCATCAAGATTCATGAACATACTGTAGATCCAAACTGCTCCTTTTGCAACACAGCACCAGATTATTCAACATTTATTCTACTCATGCCCACTCAGCACACCTTTCTGGCAAGCTATGAGTCCATTTCTATCCCAAAAACTAAATACCTCCACAACTATCTGTGACAGAAACATTATCACCCATTTTTCCCACCAAAACAATAACACTGAAAGAGTTACCAACATATTCATATTATTTGGCAAACATCACATACATAGAAGCAAGTACAACAAAACCAAACCATCCCTCCAAGCAGTCAACTCCGAAATCAACAACTCTATTAAATCTATAATCCTCATAAACAGCAAAAAACCAACTCCACAGTCACATTATTCGACCATAAAAACTCGTGTCTCCCTTTAACGCTCTCTCTTGATAATAATAATAATAACAGTCATTAAATTCATAAAATCATATATAATTGCTTATTTCTTACCACCTTTTATGAATGTCATTTGTTTCTGTATATAATGTAAATATTTTTGTTTTTGTCTTTGCTGTTGTATGTTTCGTTTTATATGTATATTTGTAATTTTTATAAATAAATAAATAAAAACATAAATAAAAAACATGCATAAACCCGATCCCTCGACATACTTCTGCTGCTGTTGTGCAGATACATTTTCTTCTGTTTCATGATATGAGGATTACAGTTACTTCCTGTCGGTAGCTTCATGAGAAATGCTTTCTGAGGTGATGTCAACACGTGCGAGTCCTGCTCCACTCCCTGTTTTGTTTTTGTTCTGCAGAGTCAGCCACGCCACCAGAGAGAAAAAAATAAAAATTAAAGCCGCAAGCGGCGTCGAACGGCCCTCGCCGCACCGCGCGACTCCCTGCACCGCGCGCACTCCCCGCACCACGCCGCCCCGCACCAAGCCGCCCTGCACCATGCCGTCCCGCACCAAGCCGCCCCGCACCAAGCCGCAACGCACCGCTCCACAACGCCCCGCACTACGCCGCACCACACCGTACCACGTAGCACCGCGCATAGGATGTGGCGCCGCCGTGTGATGATTGGTTCCCGTAGCCATAGAAGAACTTAGTCAAATTGTAATGAATATGATAATTAGAGCTGGTTTGGCTCCCCATGTAAACTTTGAATCAGTCTGTAGGGGGCGCTAATGGGCCAATTTCAAATATTTCACTTTCACCTGACCTAAACCCTGGAGTTGAACAATGGATTCAAGTTTAATGCAAATCAGTCTTTGTTTGTGCAAACGGGGAAAAAATTTATGTTGTCAAAAACAGCCAAAAAACCCTCACATTTTGCCGTTCCGCTTCTCAAACAACGTTTGACTGATTAAAATTCCCTGAAGTAATTATGAAGGTAAATGTGTTGAGATGATTTGGAACAATTTTGAGGCCAATCGGTGAAACGGCCGAGGAGGAGTCGCTTTCCAACCAACGTTTATGAAAATGATTGGTTTTCATTTTTCCATTTTGCAATGAAATTTATGGGCTTCCTGTTTGTCAGGGGGCTTAGCCATAATAACATTTTTCCCATGTCTTGACTTAAGGAACATGTGTTCCAAATTACATGGTTCTACGACAATTTTGACCTCAAACCCCTCCCATAGGCATTTTTAATATGGCTGTTGTCACTTTCAAATGACCTAGACCCAAGAGTTGAACCATGGATTCAAGTTTTGTGCAAATCAGACTTTGTTTGTGCAAACGGAAGCAATTTTTCTATGGTCAAAAACTGAAAAAAAATACGCCACTTTTTGGCGCTCCGCTGCTCAAACAACGTTTCACTGATCAAAATTCCCTGAAGTCATTTTGATGGTACATGTGTTGAGATGATGTGGAGCGATTTTGAGGCGAATCGGTGAAACGGCCGAGGCTGGTTTGATGTTTGTGTGAGGTGTATATTTGCAATGAATGGGGAGCGTTTGTCGTCGCCACGGCAACAGGGTAAAAAATAAGCCTTGGACCCAATTGACTTTTTGAATCAAGAGGGCAAAACAGATGTATGTGCAAAATTTCAAACATTTTGAAAAAACTAAATTTGAAAATGCCCATTTAAAACTTTGAAATAGTCTGTAGGGGGCGCTAATGTGTCAATTTGAATCATTTAACTTTCAAATGACCTAGACCCTAGAGTTGAACAATGTATTAAAGTTTTGTGAAAATCAGACTTTGTTTGTGCAAACGGGAGCAAATTTAATGTTGTCAAAAACGGCCAAAAAAAGGTCACATTTTGCCGCTCCGCTGCTCGAACAATGTTTCACTGATCAAAAATCCCCGAGGTCATTTTGAAGGTACATGTGTTGAGATGATGTGGAGCGATTTTGAGGCGAATCGGTGAAACGGCCGAGGAGGAGTCGCTTTCCAACCGACATGTATGAAAACTTTTGCTGTTCATTTTTCCATTTTGCAGTGACATTTATGGGCTTCCTGTTTGTCAGAGGGCGGAGCCATAATAATATTTTTTTCTTGTCTTGACTTGAGGAACATGTGTACCGAATTTCATGACTCTACAACAAACTTCATCTTCAGAACTCCCATAGGGGTATTATTTTGGCTGTTGTAGGTGACGCTGTTCTGGCATTTTTTGAGTCCCATTAAAATAAACACCAAAATATCACATTTTTCGCCAGGTCTGATTTTTGGCCCAAAATTAACAACTTTTCATGCATGTTCAGGGGGTCAAATTAAGGCTCAAAGTGCAGAAGAAAAAAGAAAGAAAGAAAGAAAGAAAGAAAGAAAGAAATAAATTAAAGCCGCAAGCGGCGTCGAACGGCCCTCGCCGCACCGCGCGACCCCCCGCACCGCGCGACCCCCCGCACCGCGCGCACCACCCCGCACCACGCCGCCCTGCACCACGCCGTCCTGCATCACGCCGCCCCGCACCAAGCCGCAACGCGCCGCTCCACAACGCCCCGCACTACACCGCACAACACCGCCCAAAGCCCAAAGGAGGTGGCGCCGCCGTGTGATGATTTGTTCCCGTAGCCATAGAAAATTGTTAGTCAAATTGTAATGAATATGATAAGTAGAGCTGGTTTGGCTCCCCATGTAAACTTTGACTCAGTCTTTAGGAGGCGCTAATGGGCCAATTTTGAATATTTCACTTTCACCTGACCTAAACCCTGGAGTTGAACAATGGATTGAAGTTTAATGCAAATCAGTCTTTGTTTGTGAAAACGGGGAAAAAATGTATGTTGTCAAAAACGGCCAAAAAAACCCTCACATTTTGCCGCTCCGCTTCTCAAACAACGTTTGACTGATTAAAAATCCCTGAAGTAATTTTGAAGGTAAATGTGTTGAGATGATTTGGAAAAATTTTGAGGCAAATCGGTGAAACGGCCGAGGAGGAGTCGCTTTCCAACCGACATGTATGAAAATGATTATTTTTCATTTTTCCATTTTGCAGTGAAATTTATGGGCTTCCTGTTTGTCAGAGGGCTTAGCCATAGTAAAAAAAATTCAATGTCTTGACTTGAGGAACATGTGTTCCAAATTACATGGTTTTATGACAATTTTGACCTCGAACCCCTCCCATAGGCATTTTTAAATTGGCTGTTGTAGGTGGCGCTATAGAGCCAATTTCAAAATTTTAACTTTCAAATGATCTAGGCCCAAGAGTTGAACCATGGATTCAAGTTTTGTGCAAATGAGACTTTGTTTCTGCAAATAGAAGCAATTTTTCTATTGTCAAAAACTGGAAAAAAATACGCCACTTTTTGGCGCTCCGCTG